AGCATATCTTGCCTTTCAACAGAGGAGCAGCCACAAGTTCAAACACCAAAGGCAAATACTTGGTTTCCTGTTCATGTTCCAGATAGACCTCAATCTCAACAAAATCATCAAGATGCTGATGTGGAGAGGAAATTAACACATGAAGAATTGGAAGAATTATTCTCCAATTGCACTGATCAATGTGATTCAGAGGTTCAAAATTGCATTGGATTATTACATTGTACTGGTGAGAATGGATTTGAGAAGGATTACTCAATGGCGATGGAATGGTTACTAAAATCAGTCGATCAGAATAATAATACGAATGCCTTATTCAATATTGGATACATGTTTGAAACTGGATTGGGGAGAGAACAGAATTATTCGGAAGCTTTGGAATGGTATGAGATGGCAGCTGAACAGGGAGATCCAGAAGCTCAATTTACAGTTGGTTTGTTTTATGAGTTTGGAAAGGGAGTGGAGAAGGATGAAGAACAAGCCAGAGAATGGTATTGGAAAGCAGCTAGATGTGGTCATGCAGATGCTCAGAAGAAAATTGAATTGCTCAATAAATCAACTCAACAATATTATCAGTACAATACTTTTAACAACAGAATAATTTATTCTTCATCAGTAATATCGAATAATGATAGCTGCCATCGTTCAGTTTCACCACTTTTTATGGAAATAACTCTCATAGCAAGTGTAATGAATGACATGGTGAGAATCACTAACAAGAGCACTGCACTAGTATTTCTCGCCTTACTCTTTCTCTTATAATTTCCGCCGATTAAATTAAAAAAATGGGCAAGAAATCATCAGGAAGCGCCAAAACCTCATCTGCTCCTACTTTGAATGCCAATGCTGGTGGTATTCACTTGAGACCAACACCAAATGTTTCTCTGACGGAAAGTGCTGTTGATGAATATAGATTACCTTTGAAGGCTTTAAATTATATTTTCTTTTGTTACTTGTTGACTGATTTATTAGCAGCTTATTTAATGCCGAGGACTCTGATATAAATTACCAGTTTAGCTAATGCAGAAATGGAAATGCAAGCAAAGATCACAAGAACAAAGATGAGCATTCTACGATCGAGGGAATCAACGCTACCAGAGCCTCCAGAGGTTCCAGTTACTATGGCAATTGCAATAAAGATGAGTATCCAAATGAATGTTTTGAATCCCCCAATCATTATAACCAGAATCATCAAGTTGGATAAAATCAAATTCGTTACAACTGATCTATTTCTGAAAATTTCAAATAATGGAGAGAGGTAGTGTTGAGCGGGTGTATTAGAGGATTCAAATAATCCCTCAATACTTTCAGTATTCTTAATCATGTGCTTTAAAGAAATGGCCAATCCGAGAGCCGTTGACATGTTGAAAGAAATAAGGCAGCAAATAATGAAATCATCCACATATCTCATTAATATGAGTGTTAGTATTGTTTGTAAAATAATCACTAAAGAAACACTATTAGCCTCTTTGTAAAATTCAATATTCCTATCCA